GATTCTGACTCATTAGTTATCTGCTCACTAAAAGATATGGGTCATCCATCCATCCATCCATCCATCCATCCATCCATCCATCCATCCATCCATCTCTTCCTGATCGGGGTTGAAACATGCTTGGTTGCTTATCCACCCTGACAGCTGCAGCTGACCATCAGGACACAGACAGAATTTTTTTCTTTTTAACCTGAGAATTAATTAGAATTAAACTCTGGATTTAGGATTTTAGGCAAAGTTTCTCCATTTCCCAGCATGTCTTTCTAACAAGAGAACAAAACCTTGAATATTTCATCCCAGTCATCTCAACATATGTTTCCTTAAAAACAGCGCACAAGTACAATGACATCAAAATACATAAATSTGAGAAACCTCACCAGCTGTAGGGAAAAAGATTACCTCAAACGTGTGATGAAAGGCTCCATAGTCAACGTCAAAGAAGCCCTCTGCCAGCGACATCATGGGGCTGAACCTGTGACCCCACAACACCTCCTCTGCCAGGTAGGAGCTCCTCGCCTGACACGTCATCCCTGCATGCAAACAAACAAACAAACAAACAAAACAAGTGCATGACAACCTTCTAACAAACACAAAGAAATAAACAGGTACATTAGTCTGAGGTGCAGGTTTCATTTTTCCAAAACGGTGATAGAAAAGCTCTGCAGAGGAGTTTAAACCTCGGCTGAAGCTCTCCGACTGAAGAAATCAATATTTAGAGTAGGCAGAGAGGCCATCCGTTTGTTTCTCCGCTGCTCAAACAACGCTCCTCTCACCTGTAGCCTCCACCATTCCTTCTAGAATGACCACGATCTCAAAGTCCTCCTTCTCCAGCTGGGCCTGCGACATGTCCCAGAATGCTGAGCGCGTGTCGATTTCGTGAGAGATCACCAACGGAGAGACCAGAAAGAGGCGGTCRTCGCCGGTCTCGAAGCCAACGCTGATGTCTGTTTGGTCCAGAGGGATGAACTCGCCTGGAGGAGACCATAAAGGTGAAAAGGACTCTCTCGGGTCACGTGTCCACCACATCAAAATGAGGATTAAGTAAAATTTGATCAAAATGACCTAATCATATTTTCAGATTACTGGCTTTAAAAGCTACATTTTGATACTTAGATCATCCTGATATCATTAGTAGATCCATATATCTGCCTATTTCTCCACACACAACTTTTATGCTTAATCCTCGTTTCGATGCGATGGGTCACATACGTTAGATTAAATTCTGTTGATRGCAGTTTAAAAATAAAGGAATTGTCACCTTCCTGAGTCTGCTTGGATTTGATGAGTTTGGCCCTCATGTTGGCCCCCACGATGTGGGAGCTCCGAAGGTCTCCCACCCTGAACATCAGGCAGAGCTTGTCGTCTCTCAGGGAGATGACGGCGTGTTTGGAGAACACCAGCGTCTCGGCTCGCTTGTTGGGCTGCGAGATCTTCACGAACATGCAGCCAACCTAGAATTTAAAAAAACCCACACACACACACATAGGCTAGTGTTGTGTGGAGGAGCTGGGGACATTTGCATCGGCCGTAAAAGCAGAGAATTGCTGGGAATTTTAAAGCACCCCCTGTTCAGAGTTCCTAATTACCAACTGAACGGTAAAATGATGCTGACGCAGGCCGTACATCTGGAGCACATTCATTGTGGCTGCTGAATACAAACTAAGCTTCATGTCTCAATAGAGCTATTTCTGGCTTTTAAAGCAGTGAGTAGTGACACGTGAATTAACCTCAAACAGATTTTTTTAAATAAGCTCAGTAAAGCATCCCACGTGTCCATTTCTTATAAATATGGTGAGTTTCTGTGGCAAATACAGAAACTGAATTCATACTCATTCAAATCAGCTCTTTTAAAATCACTTGTCTATGTYGCATGAAAAATATCAGCTGTTTTCTGCTGTTTCTTCTGGAGGAAAACTTGTATTCAGTTCAGCTCAAACAGTAGAACTCATTTTAATAAATCAAAGAAAGTATTACATGTTTTAAAAAATGAATCGTTTTTAGATTTACTTAAAAAAATWAACCTGCTGACGATTACTTTTTACAATTAAACAGATCAATTGAAATTGCATAAACTTTCTATTTTCTCCATGACATCATACTTCATGCCAAAGCATCTGTACACCTTTCAAACAGGGGCGGAGCTACACTTTTTACAAGGGGGATGCACCAGGGTGGCCAAGGTGTTATCTAGGGGGGACATATATAAAAATAGAGAAAACTACCTGCTATAATTCAGCCATTTTGAGACCAACTGATTTTAAATTTGTTGTGGCGTARCCTAGAATGGTTCTTAATTTAAGCTAACCGCTAATGCTAACTTTAAAAAGGACTATGATTCAATTATTAAACATAATGCTGAAAGTTTACATAGTAGTAGCCAGCAATAATTAACAAAATCTGAATTTAAATAAAAAAACAAGATCCAAAGCTAATTTAAAATTGTAATACCTCAGCCATKTTTTTAAATACTGAGCTGAGATATGGTAAGATGGTAGCTAATAGCCTTCTCTATGTCRTTTTTAAATCTCAATTTTAAGCTTTTAGAGATATTAAACTGAAATTTAGTGCTGAGTAGCTGAGAGTGACGCCTAACGGAGTCTAAAAATCAAATAAAAGAATCCAAAATGTCCATCAAAGTTATATTCAAATGGCTACAAATCAGCGATTTTTATACATATTGAGCTGAAATTTTTATAACAGATATTTTCTTTGTTTTAGTTCTAATGGACCACCTTTTATCACCCCCACTTGTCAATCATTTGGGGGTGGTACCTGGGGTGGCCAATCAGGTGCCAGGGTTACACTTGCCACCCTGGCCACCCCTCTAGCTCTGCCCCTGCTTTTAAATGAAAAGTCCTTTAAAGCTTAAAAACAAAACCTGCTGCTGTGAAAGTTTACCTGACTGCGACTTTTAAGACTGCAGAAGTTAAATTCAGAACATCAGCTCAAATCAACAACTCCCTGCTGACATCTTTCAGTCTCTGAAGTAGCCATGTACTCGTCTGTCGAARTGATCTAAACTCAAATGTGAGGTCATCTGTTCGACAGCTAAAGCTGGGCTCAAACTGGGTCAAACACAGGCAGCAAATCTTCAACAGAACGGCTGAAAAAAAGAAGAGAACCGAGATGCTGAAATGACCCAGTTGAAATACTGAAGCAGGACCATAAGAATGTAAATGAACACCTGTAAACCTGAAGAAACTAAACAACATTGTAAAGAAAAGTGGACCAAACCTACTTTACACTGATGTTAAAGAGGGGGTAATATGCAAAATGTACTTTTATGAGCTCTCTATTTTTATAATGTTATTCTTTCATAAAAAAAAACACATCCAGAGTGTTGCTTTGACTCATTCATTCATGTCGGAGAAATCCTTGAATCTCCTATGTGGAGCTGCCTAAACAAAGCTCCGCCCATTTGTACAAAGCTCCTCCCTGACAGTGCTGAAGTGGGAGTGTCAAAAATGGTAGGAAGTTCTTTTAGGTTGTTAGGTTAGGTTGTTTTTGATAAAAACAGCATTTTCTTAACAACTGAAGGCAACAGTTACTTGATTGTAGTAGAACTGAACCATGTGCCMGGAAAATACATAATCCACCCTCAATTTAAAGAAAAACTGAGCCAAAAATCCCACTGTTGYTCAGTTAACAATTATAATCATTTGAACTGCTTTGAATTTTATTAGTTTTGACTGACAGAAAACAGCTACTTTAGGTTCTTACTGCCAAAGATAAATCTGAGATGAACCAAATGGACTCAGTTTTCCACTCATTTGACTTGTTTTTTTTTTATAAAACAAATAATAAAATGGTGTATTAGATGTTGTTCATGTTGTGTTTTTAGCTGGTGTTCTGCTTCAGCGAGTTTTAACGACTCATATTCAACTTTTCCAACCAATCAGTCAAAACTCAACGTTCACTCTGCATGTTTGCAGCAAATGACATTTCTCCATTTTTTTAAATAATTTTTTTTGTCCACCTCCCAGTTTATTTTCCCGCCAGCACTCTCTGCTCACCATGAAGGCGTTGACCATCGATCCCAGTATAGCTTGCAGCAGCAGCAGCATGGTGCCCACCGGGCACTGGTCGGTGATGACGCGGTGTCCGTAGCCGATCGTCGTCTCCGTCTCGATGGAGAAGAGGAAGGCCGAAATGAAACCATTGACATTGTTGACACACGGTGTCCAGTCTTTATCATTCAGGTGGTCCAGATCACCCCTTAGGGAGGGAAAAAAAGGAAGAAGAGAATGTGTGGAAAATGGAAGAATAGGTAGGCGGGGGGAGGTGGTAACGTGGGTGTCAAAGCCGAAACAACACACACGGGGAGTGAGAGGAGTTTTATTTTTAGACCATATGTGAGGAATTATAATTGTGGCGACTCATCTCTTCTTTCAGGTTGTCTAAGTAACAAAATAAATCATGCGCAGATTTATCCATGGTGATTAATCCGTCACTTTTTCCACCACGCTGCAAAAATCCACTGCCTTTTTCATCCCATCTTCCCAGTTCATCATCAGGATATTTCAGCCTGCTGTTGAGAATCTGCAGCTTTCTGTCAAATACACAAGCGAACGCCCCTCATTACCACGGCTCCAGATGGAGAGGAAGAACTAATTAATGAACGTGGTCTAAAGTACTATATACCATCTTTGACTTTTATTGAACCGTGCWGGTGACCAAAGAACTAAAGCAACACTCAAAGTGCTCTGGCACACTTTAAAAACGGTCTGCATCTGATATAAAAAGGTCATAATTCTTCAAGCAGACCATGTTAGATAATTACATCAAGAGAAGAGGGACCCTGCCATGATGAAACACAGGGTAATATTTATACTGCTTGGCCATCTCTTTTTTTCTGAGCTACTTCAAAGCAAATGTATAAAAATGTAAACCTAATTTGTGATGATTAAATAAGTTGTTTGACATTTTAGAAAATATTATTTTTTCTCKTGAGAGCTTCATAAAAACTATTATAAGGGTGTGTTCACACAAGGAAAGTCCTTTGGTCCGCTTGTTTGGTCTGATTTTATGTTTTTCTTTTGGTGTGGTTCGCATTCACACTGTGCTTTTTGCAAGTGGATTATAATTTATAAACAACGCCACGCAGGTGACGGTCATTGTTCTCATTGGACAGAAATGATGGGGGCGGGGCAGAGCACAGATCAGGAAATAAAGATGCCGTTAATACAACTATTAAGAATATCAAGAGCAGTTTATTCAAAAGGTGGTTTCTCAATGACGTAATTATAATTTTGGGATGGCGTTGGCAAATGTGTGCCGCAACCTAAAGAAGACGAGATGCTATGCATGCCCTGACCCATGACGGCTCATTGTTTGTAGTGTTGTGTTAGCATTAGCAACAGATGGCTAATCRTTTCCATGATGCTTAGCAATGGTGGCTCGTGAAGTCCAAAAAGACACGTTTCCTGTAGGTGGTTCGGTTCGAGGCCGGTCTGTATTCACAACAGAAGTGAACCACAACAGAGATCATTTGGAAGCAGACAAAGACCACTTCAGAAATGGGTCTCGGTCCAGTTGTTTGAGCCACACCAGGGTTCACATGAGTGTATTCACACCTGCATAAAAGATCCAGACCAATGAGGGGAAATGAGCAAACCAAATGTGTCGGTAAGAAAACACCCTCTAACTACTAAAAATGGTGATCCAGGCCATGGASAGGCATCTTGTCTTGAAGACTTTGATCTTTTAACATGTCTTACTTGTGGTTTTGCATTCAGTTTTTGAACAATTTGCTCCAAAACCATTGAAACAACAAGACCCAGAGCAAAAACTGTTGATTGTTTTGGTTCAATTTAATTTTCTCACAAAACTGATTGAAGTAAACTACGACAGAGTATTAGGGCCACACAACAAGATTTATTATTATTATTATTATTATT